ATACGAAATAACGAAAACATTTTAAACGAAAAATGAGATAACGGCTGCACGCACGCACCGGACGGTTATCACACAACAGCTGTTGTCAACCGCACCGCGGTRGCGCACGATACGAACCGCTACCTCAACACGAAATTCACAAAACAAAAAACCCGCCAAACGAATACGATTTAAAAACCAATGTTGGCGACAACAAAAAGAGTGGTGTCGCGGTCGGTGGGATATGAACAAGTTGAACTAGATTTATACAGGTGGTTCATCAATTGTCGGTCGAAAAGTTTGCCCATCTCTGGACCTATTATACAAACAGAGGCCAATAAATYGGCAGAAAAACTCGGAATCAGTGATTTTAAAGCTTCAAACGGTTGGCTTGACCGGTTCAAACGACGGCACAATATCGTCTGCAAACAAATCAATGGAGAAGCAAATKATGTAAATSAAGATACWGTTGAAAATTGGAAACGCAAACTCTTAGTTCTCRTTAAAGGGTATGAAGCTAAAGACATTTATAATGCCGACGAAACTGGTCTTTTTTTAGAGGGATMCCTACCATGTCTTTAGTAATAAAGGGCGATGCGTGTGTTGGTGGTAAAAAATCTAAGGATAGGTTAACTGTATTGATGTGTGGGAGCAAGGCAGGTGAAATCAGTAAGCCTCTTGTTATAGGCAAATCAATGAAACCTCGTTGTTTTAAGAATATGAATATTGCTTCGTTACCTGTGACTTGGAAATCTAACAAGAAGGCTTGGATGACGGCCSAAATAATGGAACAGTGGTTGCAATATTTCAATGCAGATATGCGATCACAGAACAGAAATATTTTAYTATTTTTGGACAATGCGACATATCATCCTTACATTGAACTGTCTAACGTGAAAATGCATATGCTACCCCCAAACACCACTTCGGTTTCTCAACCGATGGACCAAGGAGTTATTTACACCTTTAAGTCGTACTATCGTAAATTTATGCTACAGTCGCTAGTGTGCAAAATTGATAGTTCTACTTCGGTTCACCAGCTTGCTACTTCGATAACTGTCTTAGACGCTGTAAATTGGATTTCTTTATCGTGCAATAGTTTGAAAAATGAATGTGTACAAAATTGTTTCCGTAAAGCTGGATTCTTGATTGATGGATCGGACGTGAATCCCAATGAGAATGCCCTGACTGAAATTCAAGATATCTTTGCTGCACTTGATTTTGACCAAGAA